TAAATTTCGTCATTTTGCTTTTTTTTTAAAGCAGCTGAACAAATTGCGGTGCATTTTTCCTATATATTATTCTGACCCTCTTAAGTGAAAGGAACTTTTACTAATGATTCATCCATTGACGGAAATTATCTGAAATAAATCAAGAAAAGGAGTGTGAACAGATGCATCAACCCATAAAAATACTATGGAAACTAGAACCTAAACCTTATTTTGAAAAAGAAACTTCTTCTTTTATTGCAGACAAAATGCTAAAAATCCTTAATAATCCAGATAGGTAAGGCTGCTGCATTGAAGCTGCTTTCACGGCAGTTGAAAATAAGAATCCATCTTCAAATTGAGATTGTTTGAAGCGTTTAAACTTTTTCTCTGGAATTACTTTTCTTCAGTTTGTCATTTCAAACTATAGCGCTGGGACAATTGTTGAAGAATGAATGTCACTGAAACTAGTTTTGTAGAGTGGAAGAAAAAGTGGTCAGAGGAATTGTGCAGACGGGTTTGAAATTGAAACGCAAAGGTTCAACAGAACAACGAAATCGTAGAGTGAGAAAGAGAGGGAGAATGTAAAATTTCTTTTTATAGAAATATTCTAATTAGTTAAATAGTGATTAAAGCAGGAGATTGTAGACGTTTAGTTGATTCTGATTTGATTAATAATTTCTTTCAAAATCATTGCAAAATTGTTGAATAAGTCAATTATGACAATATATACAGTAATCCTGAATGATAACTGGTGCACGGTAATCTCTAGGTTTACAACATTACATGAAGAACATATGTGCCAAATTAATGCTCAGAATATTTCTAGAAATGTAAATACAAAGTTTGAATTTGTTATTACTTTTTACAGTATCCCCATGGCAATGCTCACAACCTATGATGGATGTTTTGGGTGTATTTGAAGGACTTTGCTATAGCGCTTCACGAGAAGAACGTGCCGATTGGTTAGGAGCTCAGAGAAAATGTTTAGACAGGTAAAATTGTTTCCCTCGGGATACATAGGTAACCTTTTACCTTACAGAGGAGCTACCTTACCAATGAAAATGAGCGAAATTTCACAACGAGGGCTACGTGCTGCACTTGCTGCATCTCCTTTTCAAAAGGAGTTTTACTGGATAGGTAGGTGGTTTTCTTCAACTTCTGGTAAAAATCTTACTCCATTCGTACCAGTTAATAGATTTCATAGCACCAGTTTTTTTAAAAACTTTCTATTTCCTTCATTCTCTCATAAATTTCCAAGGTTAATGTAACCTTGTAACCTGAACTTCATTAATTTCAGGCGTCTCA